AACAAGAACACTGCTGATACTCCATTTGGATGGCCAGCCTATTCTGTCCCTAGCAATGACAAAGTGAATTCTCAGAAGACCACCCAGAGAGTGAGCATGGAGTAAGTGGAAAACAGTTTGGGTTAAGAGACCTCATCCTGTGTCTCCACAACTGGCTGAGATCTGAAAAGGAACCAGTTTGCAGAGTGCCCTGTAAGTGGGCCGGGCCTAAGTGTGCACTGATAAATTCTTGCTCTTTATCTCTTCTGGCTGACCTTAATCTCTCATTGATATACTCTTAATCAGTCACAGGGGGTAATAACACAGACTAGAGTATGATTCTTGTTTTGGGCTTCTAAAAAACAGCCTTGACACCTCCATTAGAATGGGACACACTCCTGATTGCCTCCATTAATTGCACACCTGTGAACTATTTCTTCAACCGGGAGTAGTTTTATAGATAATACAAATATCTAGTACTTCTGTACACCATGTGCCAGATACTGCTCTAAGAACTTCACTGACACTATCTTTATTAATCTTCAGCCACAATAGGAAGGAAACATTGCTTATTGCCCTCATTTTATAGAAGCAGAAACTAAGGCACAAACAGGTTAAGTAAATTTCCCAAGGTCTAACAGCTATAAGCCAGAGAGGTGGGATTCAAACATATGCAACTGAGGTGCTTAGTGCTCCTAACCATATTTTGTATGCTTATTTTTGCTTATTTCATTCTTTAATGGTGACAAACACCTTCACATGCCAGTGGAATTTTAAAGGACTACAATCTGACAAAGTTTCAATGGATACAACATTGTATTCCTCTGTCTCTCTCTCTCTCACACACACACACGCACACAAGACTTATAAAAACTAAAATTATCTTTAATATCCATTTACCTTATTTTCATTAGCATAGTATTCAACTTTATTCAGTGATTATTTTAGAATTACATAATGCAAATTTTAAACTCAAATGTCACTTGAAATATTAACTCAACCTGAGAAAACAGGGGAATATAAATATACCACTTCTCTGGTTACCTCACCCCTCCTGATGTTTCTCAGAATTATTTTTAATGATAAATTATTTCAGAATCACTAGAACTTAAGTTAATTTAGACTTTCCATTTTATAGTAGTCCCCTATGATATCACTGCTAAGCTGAAGAGGACTTCACTAACTTACACAGTATTATGGTTTGTGTCTAGATGTTCCCCCAAAGCCTCATGCAGTCATGGGGCAGGCTTCTAGAGTTTTTTATTGATCCATGATCCAATGCTGGGATTATGGGTGTGAGTGCTACACTCACCCTGGGGTGGTAGCTTGTGTACCAAAACACACAGTTATAATTTTTCCACTATCTTCTTTATATAATTTGTCCGTTGTGTTAGTTAGTTTTCTCTCATTGCTGGGAAAAAATACCCAGTGCCAAAAGTTAGGGAAGGAAAGGCTTATTTAGCTCATAATTTGTGGAGGTTTCAGTAATACTTGGCTGGCTCCAAGGCAGAGTGGCACATGGCAGAGGGCAACAGTTTAGGGCAGCAAAAGACAGCACAGCAACAAGAGCAAGCAGGGAGTTGGGGAGAAAGCCTCTTTTCCTCCCTTATACTGTATGTAGGCTTTCTGCCCTAGGATGGGTGCCTGCCCTCCTCTTGCACAGGCTTGGGATGTTTACAAAGTGAAGACCTTGGCCCCCTGCTGGGTCCCTTAGTTAAACTTCTAAATTCAGATTGATACAATGTATCAGCCATTACATTCAGTGACAAAACTGGTACTTTTCGTGTTATAGATCATACTACTAGGCTAATTATACCTTGAAAATGTATTATTAAACTATTCCTTTGATGATCCAGGACATCAGAGGTGAGGATGTGTAGGAAAGGTGACAGGTCGAATACAAGCTTTTGGTCTGCCACACTTCTGTTCTATGAAGACCTGACCTATCTGACAGCCAGCTATGTCTCCATTGGGCACTCTTTCACATTGCTGCTGCTCCGCATCATGAGAAAGATGTGGTGATCTGAATTTCCCAAAGTGACAAAGGAAGGTGCACCCTCCCTTGGAGTTTAGAACTGGACAATGTTTCTGCTCGAAATGTTTGTCTTATCTTAATGAACCAATTAAAGATGCAAGAATTTCTCTGCCTCCCTCCTCTTCCCATTACTTTGATTATATGTCAGCTGTTAAATGGAAACCCACTCTACAGTAGTTCACTTTTATAAAAATCTAAGCAACCTACCCTTAAATCCTTAATAAATAAGCAAAAGATAACATAACATTGCATTAAGCCTAAATTAAAATGATTATAAGTAAAATGGAAACACTTTAGACTCATTGTTTAATCAGGCAAATCAAGCATTTAAGCAATTTAGATGCTACCAGAAAATAATATATGACAGCAAAATTTAAAAAGGAAAGAGGAAATGATTCAGTGGGATGTGAATGACACCAATAGCCCTTGAAAAAATTTCTCTTATTTTAAAGGAGTGTCTTAGTCCATTTTGACTGTTATAACAAAATATATTAGACTGGGTAATTTATAAATAAGTTTATTTCTCCCAGTTCTTGAGACTGGGATGTCCACAGTCAAGGTGCCAGCAGACTATCTGTAAGGACTCACCACTGCTTCACAGATGGCCCCTTGCTGCTGTGTTCTGAAATAGCAGAAGGCACTCAAGTGCTGCCTTCAACCTCTTTGATAAAGGCACAATGCATATTTGTGAGGGTGGAGCCCCCCTGATTATTATCCTCCCAAATCCCCAACCTTCTAACACTATTACACTGGGGATTAAGGACCAACATATGAATCGTAGAAGAACAAGATAGTGTGAACACAGCAAAGAAGAGTATCAAATATGTATCATAGGAAAAAGGTCCTTAACTAGCATCTTGAAAGACATATTACAAACACCACATTTGATTTTTTTCAAAATTTCTACCATCCAAAAGCTGAAGAAGTCCTTTCGAAATATATTTGATAGGACTGGGTTTGGAGTAATTAAATTAAGAGTTTATATTTCTAAAACCAGATCATTTTCAATCTTAATAGTCATACGAAGTAGGGGATATAATTTAAACCCAAAGAGCCTTAGTTTCCTTGTCTACAAAATGAGTAATAATAGCACCTACTCTATTGGATTGTTAAGATAACTAAAATTTATTTTTTGATAGCAGAAATGAAACTCAGGACCTTGCGCTTGCCAGGCAGGTGCTGTGCTGCTGAGCTATATCCCTGCCCAATAATTAAGATTATGAAACTAAAGTTCCTAGAATAGTCCTTGTCACATACTAAGTTTTCAATAAAAGTTAACAAACTCTAACATTTTATCTAGACTATTAACCAATTTAACAAACCATTGGATAAGGCTTATACAGAGATACTATCGTTATTACTATTTTACCTCAAAAGTGGTTCTGATACCAAGGGTGCAGTTTCACGGTTGAGCACATGATTAATATGCTCAAAGGGCTGTGTCCAATCCTTTGTACCACAGAAAAGCAAGAGGTGTGGGGAAGAAAGAAAGGAAGGGAGGGAAGGAGAGACGTGGAAGGGAGGGAGAGAGGGAGAGAAAAGCCTGGTACCATAAGAAAAATATTAATTTTGTATGAGAGTTGTGGACTTACTGATATAATTCAATGCATTCCTAGGAAATTATTTTACTTTTTACTTGATTTTATTTCTAATGTAAAAGTATTGGGTTATTGTACAGTAAGTACCTTTACAATGTGAGAAAATATTTTTGCTCAAGTCCTACATGGTATCAATATTTTACCTTAATCACTCTAAAGGAAAACCATCCAAGATGGCAGCATCACATCTTCCACATTATCTGTATTTGTATTCAGACAAACAGAACTGCCTGTTGCACCTGAACCAAGTTATACCCAGTATCACATTAAGGATGTGCTGGTTTGCTATGCTCTCTTGATTTGTCTGCTGTGAGACAGTATGCATGATCTTTAAAATATAGATATCTTATTTTGATGTCTGATAAGTACTTGAAGACTAAAATTCCTATGTGCCTTTTTTAAAACTTGGGGTAGGAGTTATTTATGTCTGACTTCATTTTCCTCAGTAGAGAACCAAAATACAAAGAATAATGTATTTATATGAGGAGAAGTATATGAGGAGGAGAACCTGAGATGAACAAATAAGAATCCACTAACTCTTGGAAAAGTAGTTAAAAACAATAAAGTGTCGTGTGTGTGTGTGTGTGTGTGTGTGTGTGTGTGTGTGTGTGTAAGGGTACAAGAGATGCAGGGAAGGGCAGGTAGAGAAGGGAAAAGAAATTTTAAAAAGTACATGGACTGACTCCCCAGGACGAATGTAATGATATACTCCAAACATGTACCAATAAAAATAAATAAAGAAAAATTATCTGTTGGGAGTTTACAAATAAATTTAAGTTCATGTGCCAAAGTAAAAAAAAAAAAAATTGTCATTCCAAAGGCCCTGCTTTGCCCTTGCAGATGATCAGTTGTATGGGTCCACAAGGGGAAGACAGATGACAGCGCATAACAGACAACGTGCCAAGCTGAGGTAATCTTCAGGAGGGGAGAAGGTTTATGAAACCATAGGTAGAACAACTTCATAACATCTGACACAAACACAGCCCAGACATGCAATTAATACAGAGCTTCACATACAGCAGGAATTCAGGAAACAGGAACAGATAGTAAATGAGTTTGATTCTGGTCTACAAGAGAATAGAAACTGCAACGTAATTTGTGCTGTGTGTGTTTGGTTTGTTTGTTTTTGCAGAATGGCAATCATCTAACATCTCTGAAACTCAGAGTTTTCTTTGGGAAAATAGATATGTACATCATAATTTAATAATACTTCCTGCCTCGAACGGCTAGTATGACTTTCAAAAGAAAGCAAGTGAACTTTACAAACAATGTACAATGTTAAGTCATTTTTATTTCACTTGCTTGAAAATCTAAAAAGCCACGGGTGTGTTTCCCTCATTTCTCCCCCTCGACCGACTTGAACACGTCTAGTGCAGGGCGAGATCGGGATGGAATGGGAGCTGGAGGTGCGAGCCCTGCGGTACGGGAGGAAATCGGAGTGGCCTCGGTCATCCCAGCCCGTGAGGACTCGGAGGCGTTGTCTGGAGAAGCTGTGCGCTGAGAGCCAGAAGTCCTCTTTACTTCCCTGTGTAAGTCGAGCCCTGCATGGTTTATAGCAAACAAGGTGCGGAGACTCCCCAGGGGAAAAGGTGACAGACAACAGTTACAGCCCTAAGTTAAAGAACAGTCACAAGTTCAAAGTGCAAAAAGCACACGGTTACCGGCGGTGCTTTACCCTTCACTTGCTCTCCTAGCCGGCAGCCTGTGAGAAACATCGCCTCTTCTGCTCCGGAGGGCTGAGGGGAGATGGCAGGACAGAACATACAATGGAAACAGGATTTCCTAGGTTAAATATTCGTTGTATGTGGGTGGCATTTTTTAAACATATCCAGGAGTTGCTATTGAAATGCAAATGTGTATTACTGCCAGGAGGGAGATGTTAAAAAAAATGAGAATACCCAGAGCTGGAAATTGTCCCCGGGGCCAAAGACAGATGTTGGGCAACAGCAGGAACAGACAGGGAGCACAGGAAGAAGAGAAGCAGAATGAGGAATAAAAAGACCAGAATGAAGTAGAAAAGGCCAGCAGGACATCCTGTAAGAGCAGATTTAAGACTCATAGCTGGGCCTAGCCTTTGTCATCCACCAAGAAAGAACAATCGAAAGGTAGTAGGTAGAGTGGCCAGCTATTGAGGATGGAAACACATCCCAGTAGAAGCAGAAGCGCTCTGGCTGACCTGTGCTGCCTTAGCAGTCCGTGTAAAAAGATGCCACACCTTGCGAACCACGGAACAGATGTTCCCTCTTCTTATAGTAAAAGCTGAGTTGTTAGTGACATAGCTTTAGTGAACCCAAGCTTGGGGCACAATAGCAGTCACTAGAGTTGTAACAGAGGAGAAAATGGCTGAATGCAGTATTTACTGGAGAGATTTCCCACTGCCTTCTCTACCAAATGAATGAAAGTAAGTGAAGCTGAAGTCCTACTAGCAATGGACCTGTACAAAGCCAAACAATCACACTGCACTCCTTTCACCACCTCCCCGCTGAAGACATAGGAATAAGAGCAGTAGCTACATAAGTTTACATAAACTTCAACAGAATCACCAGTGAACCACTGCCATTTCTGGAGAGTTTAATGTATCAAGGCAAAATGCTCAGGAAATGCTAAGGAAACTGAAGTGTATGTGTGTGTGTATGTTGGGTAGAAAGGTGAGTTAGAACTAATTCCAAATATCACATCTTCCAAAGATGCAAAGTGCCTTTTTGTGTGACTGTTTATGTTAATATATACATAAAACTATATTTGCACTGAAAGGTTATATCCAAGCCAAGCAAAATTTATAATCTGCTTTCCAAATGTATCTATTCTGCTTTAAAATGATGTATAAGTGCTTACTAATGTGTCACACACCCTTTCGGTCCTGAGGACAGAGCAATGAGCAAAGATGGACACGCAACATCACCTTGATGATCAGATCATAGGAACGTGAGCATGTTCACGTGACTCCCTGTCACGTTATACCTGAAAGGTTTAAGCCTTTGATCCTCAATGAGATGAACAGTGAGGAACCATTCAGTGTGATTTTTCTCACAGAACAGTCAAGATGAATTCATATTGCAGAGAAATGAATGCCTTAGATCTTTCCAAAATGGATGGATGGGAGAGAGGATCAAGCATATGAAAGATAAGGACGATCTCCAGAGGTTGCCGCATTAACAGTTATGAGGACACAGAAATGTGAATTCAAGTGGTGTCATCAGAATACAAAAAAAAAAAAAAAAGAGGATCGGATCTTTTTCTGAACTGGTGAGAGTTTCTGGCATCTAGAACCAGAGGACAAAGGGGGAAGGAAATATACAAAATGACTAGAAGTTTTTAGTTCAGAAAGTCCACAGGATAAAGTCTAATGTCCCCATATAAATCTTTCTAAAAACCACAGAAAACTAAGAAGCCAGTAATTTCATTAAGTATTCCTCAAGTCAGTGGTGCTGAGGAGCCAAACTGAAACACTCACAGCTCTCCAGGCACTGTGCTGAAGTGGGGCTTGGACTGCAGTGTTACTTATCCTCCATTCATCAGTAAGATCCTTAATGTTAACAGAAGCTGCCTTAGAGCTACCAGTTTGTCTTACAATTAGTAGAGATATCTTTCATCATATTTTGCCCCCCCCCGAAAAAACAGAGGAAGAAAAAAGCACTTGAGAATGACCCCTTGTTTGTTTTTAAGTATGTCCATTCACGGACAAGAGATCTTGTCAGAACACAACTAGGTCTCAGGTACAGCAATTTAAGGTCAAAGGGTAAGCCTAAGGACAAAATATTTAAAAACTAGATCAGAAAGAACTTTTATTTTCCTGCTAACCCTGTTCTGCTACTCCCTAGCTATGTGACATGGATAAGAGAGGCAACATGTGTACAGTTGAACACACACTAAACTGGAAGCTCCAGCAGGCTTTTCTTGAAAGTCCTCTTCATGCTAGGCAGTGCTCCTGACTATTCAGGTCCTGAGGGAGAGAGAAAAGATTGCATAAGATAATAGCAGTGAGACACAAAGATGACACTACTGAGAGCATTGTCAGGGGTGGCCTGACAAATTGTCAGCTGCTCTGGGCTATGGAAACAGCATGAAGTAGTGGAATCTGAACAAGAAGCTGCCCCCATGCAGCTGAGACAATGTCTGTCCTCTAATAGAGAGAAGGGACCTATCATCAGCGTGCTAAAGCCCACTGGCCTGGCATATAGATATAATTTGAAAACAGTCTTAAAAATTTTAAACTCAAAACTCTCTGTTCTTTCTACAGAATAACACATATTCTTCTAATAGGGTAGGGAGTTGTGGATGTGAAGAAATTATCTTCTGTGGGAGAAATCATCAAGAAATTTTGTAAAAACTTAAAACAGTTGTACAGTATTCACATTTCCACATGGATATCTGAGAAACATACACAGATGAAAGACATTTTAAAATAGGGACACATGAAGTCAAGCTTTTTACAAAGTATGTGAGTTCTGGCTTGTTTTCATTTTCAATTTTGTTCTTTTTTCTACTAACAATGTTTTAATGATCTTAACAAAGCACAATTAAAGGGTTATATTCAACCATATAAGCATTTAGAAGCTTATTGATTAATTGTTCAGTGTCTTATTCTTATAAGAATTAGAGCAGTAAATGTCCTTTGGAATGGTGGTTACTTGATTGTGTCTATAATTACACTCAACTATACATAAGAATTCACATTAGAAATAACAAGAAACAATTTTTACACTATTTTCTCCTGCAGTAACATTCCAGAATTATAAAACTGTTTTCTGGGATTTCTTGGAAGTATAGATTTTTTTTCCTGTACTAGGAAATTGAACCAAGTCTTTGTACTGAGCCATCTTCCCAGCCTTTTTTTAAATAAAATTTATTTATTTTGAAATAAGTTTTTTTCTAAGTTGCTAATTTGTCCAGGAGGGCTCAAATTTTCAATTCTCCAGCCTCAGCCTCCCAGAGCGCTAAGATTACAGGCGTGCAACATCACTCACAGTTTGAGATATAGTTTATGGAGTGCATTTTTAAAGGTGTCTTTTAAAAATAATATATTGGACCAACACATTAAAATTTGCATTAAATTATCTCTAAATTAGAGTGATAGAGTAGTCTTAAAAATAACCTAGCTACAGTATACTGAGTTTCTACTTTGTGCCAAGAACATATATTATCTTTCTTAATCCATATAATACCCTTATGACAGAGTCGATTGTCATTTCACATGGTAGTTATGTTCTGTAAAGTCTCCATGAACATTGAATTAGTGAATACTAAATCACTGCATCTGAGGAAATATAGGATTAGATTCTTGGAAGATTCTGGTCACAATATTTTCATCAAGCAATGAATATATAGCCTTGTTTTATGTGTATTTCTGTCTAAAGCCACCTTATCTAATATACTCATATATTGTTGATTCATTAACATTGAATTTGCAGCCAACAGCATTATAACTCACACCTGGACGGAGCTTATCTGACACAAGCACTTTCTCCAGGAGTACATATCACAGCTTTCTTGTGCTTCAGATCACTAGGCAGTACTTTAGCACTATGTTTGGGGACTGTTTCAAACACCAAAAGCACCAACATAAAGCACACAAAAAAATGTGAAAAGTATGGCACTTAATAGACTTTGGAAAGGACAGCTGTTGAGTGCAGGAGAGCTGAAACGAGGCAGAGTATTAGCTTGCTCTGTCTCAGCTGGGAATGTGCACATAGCGACCTGCAAGTCTCACCACCTGGTGCAGGTCCACGAATGGTTGCAAAGGTGCCCATACTCATGGGGGGATCCGAATTAATTTTTGCAACTAAGCAAATTTACAAACATGGAATTTATGAAGAGCCAGTTTTCTGATTGTAGTTAATATTGGTACTATGTAATGGGAAATGGAAACTAGAGAGTTTGTATAATTTACTCAAGGACATCCAGCTAGGAAGTAATTGGCTTAATAATTATTCAAACTTAGCCTCATTGAAGGACTTTAACCTTGATTTGTTTTTCCAAATAATGTGGTGGAAGGATTAGAAATGTATGTTCTGGAACCTGAGTGGCTGGTTCAAATGTTAATTCTGACATTTACTATTTGGTCTGGGAATATCAAGTAAGACTTCCAAGGCTGATTATCTCACTCATGAAAAGAGACCACAACAATCACAACATAACCGGGTGCGGATGCACATAAGTAAGTAGTCTTGTACAGTGAGGGGTACAGTTCTTGCGTATGAAAGCGTTCAATGACCATGAACTGCTTAAACTTCCACTGCCCGGTCTGCAGTCCCCCATCCTCACTGCCAACCGAATGAAACACTGAGCAGGGAACACCATATTTTCCATACCCCTAACAGCCTAACAAGTAACTCCTGACAGGGCAGAGAGACGTGGAGCCAAGTAGGTTTGACCAAAGAGTACAAAGATCTATTTATGCCAGGTGAACAAATTCAAAAGATTTGCATGCTGTACCACATAGTGATAGAGTTAAGAATACTACATTGCATACTAAAAATGTGTGAACAGGGAAGATCTTAGGTCAAACATTCTTATCAAAAAAATGAGGACATTTTCCCAGGTGATGATCAAGTTTAGGGCATTGCCTTTAGAGGTAGTTTCAGGGTACACGCATGTCCTAAAATGCATCAAGATGTAGACATCTAATGTGCATAGCTTTCTTGTGTATAAACCATACAGTTTTAAAAAGAACTGAGTGATAGATTAGAATTGTAGAATATTTCAAATCAGAACATTGCTATAGGTCAATTTTATAAGAAGAATCTGGGGCAACACACTTGGGCCCCCCTTCTGTCCCTCTCTTGGACAGAAGCTTTCTTTCCCTCAATAAATATATTCTGCTCTAAAAAAGAATAAGAAGAAGAATCTATATACTCTAAATATCATACTTCTGTGAACATTTTCTTTGTATAGATAATCTAAATATTTAACAAACGTGGAATCAAAATATTGAAATAGTTCAAAATTCACCCATTTTATAGATAAGTAAAATGAGACTCATAAAACTGTAATTACTTTCTCAGGTTCCCTGAGCAGCTAGAAAAAAAATCCAAATTTGAATCCAGTTCTTTGACTCCACAGGGTTTATTTATTCTTAACTGCCCCCCCCCACAACTTCTCTTTGGTTCATCATTGTAGGATCTATATTTGTGAGATGGTCTTGCTACGCAGTTCAGGTTGGCCTTGAACTTACTATGTAGCCGAGGCTGGCCTTAAATTCATGGTGATCCTCCTACCTTAGCTTCCGCAGTGCTGAGATTACAGGCATGCACCACCTTGCATGGCATTAGTAGGCTCTATATTTGAAGGATAACCATTTAATGGTGATGACATGTATGATAGCTTATATTGCAGCTCGCCTTCCTTCTGTCTTGTGCCTTCACGTATAGTTTCAGGAACACTCAGAAATACAGCTATTTCCAGACTCCAAAACATTATTCACAATTTTATTTCAAACTTCTAAGTAAGGTTTATTTCATATTTTGTGTTCTGAAAATTCTACTGTTAACATTCATCTTTTCTCAAGTTTCTTTTTGAAATATCTTGTTTCCATTGCTTTCTCAAGATTTTCTTGCTATAGACACCCAAGTCTTTAGGAGGCATTAAACAAAATGCCAGTGATGGTGAGTTTTTACTAGGCGATGGTGCCCAACTGTTTCATTAAGCGCTAGTCTGCATGGTGTTGTGAATGTATCTGCAGCTCAGATTATCACTGACAGTCAGTTGTTTTCAAGTAGAACAGATAATCCTGTGCGATACTTTCATTAACCAGGTAAACATCTACAGAGCAAAGACTGATGTTTCCTGATGAAGGAATTCTGCCTCAAAACTGGCATGCAGAAATCTTCTCTGAGTTTCCATTCTGTAGGTCTGCTCTACAGATTTTCCACACCTACAGCTTATGAGGCAAAGCCTTAAAATAAATCTCTGAAACTGCAATTTCAATATAGATAGATAGATAGATAGATACATACATACATACATACATACATAAAAGATAGATGATAGACATAGATAGAAGATAGATGATCGATAGATAGACAGATACATAGATAGATACATAGATATATAGATAGTATCCCTCATCTGAAATGCTTGACTAGAAATTTTAGGTTTCAGAATTTTTTGGATTTTGGAATATTTTCACAAATAACTGGTTGATCTTCCCCAGTCCAAAGGTACAAAATCTGGAATACTTCAAAATCCAAAACTTTTCAAACATCATGTTGGCATTCAAAAATTTTAGATTTTTGGAGCATTTTGGACTTCATATTTTTGACCTACATTGCTATCTCTACCCCATGTGTGTGTGTGTGTGCACATGTGTATGGTATGTATATGTCCTATTGGTTATAATTATCTAGAAAAATTCTAACTAATACAGTTATGAACCATCCTGGTTTGTACAAAATAAGGAGGCTCTGCAGGAAATGCTGAGACATCCTGAGCACACAGAGGCAAGTTGGTCACAACACTTAAAAGTATTGCCTGGTTAAAAAATAATAACAGTTTTATATAGATTTTCATGATTCTTCCAACTATTTCTGACACAAGATATCCAGCCAATCACAAGTCAAACAATGAGTTACTTAGCACCAGAACTGGGCATGGTGTCACACGCCTGTTAACCCCAGCACTTGGAAGGCTGAGGCAGGAGAATCCTTGAGAGTTCAAGACCAGCCTAGGGTACAAAGTGAGTTCAAGGCCAACCTGAACTGCATAGTGAGACGCTGTCTCAAAAAGACACACACAAAAAAAACTTACCACTATGTTGTGTTGTGTGTCTATATGTTTATGTAGCAATGATGTACATACAACACTACTACCTAGCCTCAGAACATTTACATCACACAAGTTGGAAACCCTGTACCCATTAAACATTTACATAGCTCTTGACAATCACTAATCTGCTTTCTGTTTCTGCAGATTTGCCTGTTCTGGATATTTCATGGAAATGGAATCATAAAATATGTGGCCTCTGAGCTCAAGGAAAAACTTTACACAGATGTTCAAAGCAGTTCTATTAACAATAGTCAAGACATAGAAACAAACCTAAATATTCATCACCAAATGAATAGATAAACAAAATGTGGTATATCCATATAAGGAATCGTATTTGGCAATGAAAATGAGTAAGCACAGATACAAGCATGTGACGATATGAATAAACCTTAAAAACATCATGTTAACTGTGCTAGGTTTTTATAAAAGACTGTACAAAACCAGAATTAAAAAGAAAGAGAAAAAATGTTAAGATATTATTTTCCATTGTTCATTCTGACCACAATATAAATTTTGCAGAAGTCCTCTCCTAACCATGTTGCTTCCCTAAAATAGAAGTGCTCTGCATGCCCCAGTCTTTGCAGAAAACACTCTCAATTCCAAGAAAGCCTAGAGATTTAAAAGAATGGCTTTGTGGATTTAATCTTGCAAATATCCCAATAATAATGCACAAATATGTGGAAGGAGTGTGTATGCCCCCCCAAATGTGTGTGCATGTGTGTGTGTGTATGTGTGTTTGTGTGTGTGTATGATATAAAGTAATGAAAGCTTTGGGAGATTTAGTAAATTAGAAATAAGTATTTATCTCAAATAAAATATAATTACTTAAATTAATAAGATCACAATTATGAGCAAAGCCAGGGCTCTGCCCTGACACTTAAGCTCTCTTACATGTAAAACACATTAGACTATTAAAACTAATTATTATAAAGCAGCTAATCAGAGGAGTTAAGTTTCAACTTGAATATAGAATTTAAATAGAAGGACAAACAGTCATATGGGCTCAGTGAAGGAGCTCATAGTACGGAATATGCAGTGCACCCAGTGATGTAGCGTCAGGTGCCCTGCAGGAACAGAGTTTCAACCTAGACTTGGAAGACTAAAGAAATAGAGATTAGGAGGAAGAACAAAAGAAGGTATTTCAAGATTTAAGTTATTTATTCACGCATTGGACGACTGTTTATCAAATAGCTACAGTGTGCCACAAGCTTTTCGTAATGTCAAGACGGTAACAGTTTTCAGAGTCATCAAGTTAGAGGACATGGTATTAGAGACAAATAGATTAGACAGATGTATAGAATTTATAGGAAAATGGAAACGGAAATGAAGCAAATGATAGAAGCTCTTGAATACTGGATTGAACAGTTCAAATGTCACATGAAGTCTGAAGAGCCACTATCGATTCCTGAAAAAGTATGACATGAAAAGCTATCTTTGGCTCAGCAAGGCCCATTCCTGTGGGTGGAAGGAAACAGGGACACCAACAAGCAATAGTTCTAACCCAGGGTGACCACGGGATGCCCTGTCACTGAACAGTAGCTAAATAGTAATGACTATGAAAACACTTTTTCGCCAGATTTTTAAAAGATTCTTAGACTGGCTTTGAGTTTGGCTTAGCTACACATTCGGATATTACTCGCAGATAAGAAATACCATAAAACACCTGCATTGGGTAATAAAACCAAACAACATCTCCTTTATATCAGGAGCTAATCTATATTTACCAATATTTAGTAGAACTCCTACCACAGCCTGGTATATAGATAGGAGCAGGCCCGCCTCTCTGCAGACCCAGAGATAAGTGCTTCCACAAAATATTGCTATCATGATGCTACCTATATCACATTTACAATCCTGTAATAAAACCAATAATAATACTTTGTACTTATGAACTGCTTCACACTGAGAATCTCAAATGTTTTATAGGCCATAAATTCTCCCAACACTCCTCATGAAATAAAGGATAATTATACTCTCCAATTAGCAGGTAAACTAGAAACTAGCACAGCTGAAGTACTTGCCCAAGGCCACAGAGGTAAAGACAGAGTCCACTTGTTCCTGGGCATAAGCAGAGCACTCCTGGATGGAACAGTGAGGGAGGTAATCCTAGGTATGGGTAAGGTTCTACTTCCCCTTTCTCTACCAATCTTTGGCAGCTCTCCTAAGTTTTCTCTAAGGTGCTAACTGATACCAGCTGATAATGCTCAAGGTGTTACCCTTCCCAAGGATATCTACATTTTATTAGGGGGCTCTTGAAGCCTGGCTGGATGTCAAGAGCCAAAGAAAGGAACCCTTTGAATCACTGATGGAAATAGCGCCCTTCTCATGGTTCACACAGTGTCCTCCCCAGGGAAGCGGGTGTGCACTCCTGAACTTCCTCTTCACAACCAGTCAGAACACTGAACTGCAGCTATGTTTTAAGGGCAGAGGTAGACAGGAAGGAATTACCTGTATGGCCAGAACTACCTGACTTCAGAATAGTTCTGTCTGAGCCAGTTCTATATTAGGAGGCAGGATCTCTGACATTTTTGAAGCTCTCTACTTTGTTCTCAAATATTGTCATAAGTGAATTGTTTCCTGACATTTGCTGAGAATACAGTCCAAACACTGCCACCAGGTGGGATGTCTTTCACTTAGCAAGATAACCTTTTCCCATGACACTGCCAAGGAAATCAACAACATTTAATGTCTCTTCCTATCTGAGAAGGGAAAATGAAACAATTTGAAACCACCAGGAAAATGCACGGTTGCCCACTACCCTTGGTTGGGACTCGGACTTGATTATCTGAATTCATTGCAGATAGCCAGTCTGTTACATATGATTCAAGAGAAAGGTGAGAACCAGGGACACAGGCTGAAGTTTGCTGTAGGGTCACTTTTATATCTTTTATAACATGTATCAATTAAAAGGATTTGGAGAAGATGGTCACATGTGAACACGTTGAGTGTAAAGAAACAAATAATTCAAACTTTTAAAACCGATTATTTCACCATTGAAAGAAAGATACTATTGCTTCTCAGCTGAAAAGAACACAAACTACTGCAATCAACGTGAGCCATAGGTATGGTTAGGTTTGGGTTTTTTTTTTTACTGTAAGAGGCTTTGCTTTTCATCTTTCTATCATCTTAGGTGACAGAATTAGGGTATTACCAATTGGCCACAGTGTTCTTTCAGTCAAGCGTTTAAGGGGTATTTGCAGGGGTATTGATTGTATGCAAAGAGCTCTTCTGGTGCCTTGTGTGATTTTTGTCCTTAAAAAGTTGTATTCTTAATAGAAGCACAAATGTACTCAGATGCCCATCTATATTGTCATTTAACTCTTCTAGGTTTATATATCAAATCATAGTGGTCTGCAAGTATCTAGGAAGGCTTCATGAAAAAAGGCAATCTGAAGTTTACTGACCTGCATAAGATTAACATTTTGGTTTGGTCCCTGCATCCTATTACCAAGAAGTATGCTCCAGAGTGTTTTAAGGCAAGAACAACTGACATAGGACCGTAAGACATTCCTTCAGGGTCCCTCCTTGCCAGTGCGTCAGAATTCAGAAACACGTACTGCACTGACTACAAAGGTTAACATGAATCTCTTTTAATTATTTGCATTTCCTTCAAAGTGTGTAATTTCATAAAAGTGCATTGCACACTTAGTATAGACATGGGATTACAAAACCAACAACACAACAGTTCTTGCTTTTGCTGAGTTTACAATCTGTCACCTTCCATTCCTTTTTTTAATTCCTGCCTCATCGAATCTTACCCAGTTCTCCCAGTGCTATCCAGACACTCCTGCTCTGTTTACAGCTCAGCAATAGTTGCCAGGATTGACAACACGGGTACCTGAAATATTTATATAGTGTTTATGCAATCACTCTTCATTGCTCAGTCAAGGAACTGGTTTGCAGGCCTGGCTTCTGGCCAGAGTTATCTTGATCTTAATTTTATAAGGCAAGAATTAACCCCAGAGTTCAAAAATTGAAAAACAGGGTGGAGGAGTTGTTGGTAGGTGATCATTTGTGGTCAAAGAAAGCTGTTTGTTTTTCCGAGGGCAGATATCCAGGGGCCGTTTTAAATAACTTCCCTCAAGGAAGAAATGCCAGAAAAACACCTGGAAGCCCTGAAGCTACAGCGATGAGTAAAACAAGGCCCCCTAGTGATAGTTATCATTTCTACACCACCAGCCATCCATACTTTTTAAGCCTTTGTCACTGTACCTAAGCAACTTCATTGATCCTGTCAAGGTTTTACATGGGTCATCTGAACAGCTACACCTGGGAATTTGCAGGGTAAAAGGCGGAGGTTTGCAGCCAGTGTAATGAGTGGATCTCTGAGTTGCTGAGGTGTCAAATGAGATCACCCATCTCAACTGGCTTTCAGCTCCAGATACTGAAGATTCCATAACTTCTTCCACCTGAAGTCCCACTGCCTTGGCCCTCTGCGCTGTATTCAGGGGTGGGGTGGGCAGAACAGAAGAGGACAAGAGGGAAAAGGACTAGGGAAATGGAAGCACAGAGTAGACTGAACCTAAAAACAGGAAAGGGGAGAGGGTTCTGCACATATTTCAGCATTGCCCGCTCATCCTTAGGTTTGAGTCTTCCACATTCCTCAGTTTGAGAAAAACAGCTACAGGAATGTGAATGAAAATGTCCATTACATTGTGCAGGTCACAGGCAAGGGCAGGAAGTGTTTCAGTGTTATGCTTTTAGAAACTCCCATTAGGAAATAATCATCAAAGGGGTGAGGTGGAAAAAAAGATGGGCTCCAAGAAGAAAATATTTTTTAAAGTAGCATCTCTTCTCCAAAAAAGTATCAGCCTCCATTAAACTGCTGTGTGCAGAAATGGCTAGTCAGACCAAGAGACAGAAATGTACTGGTTGAGAAGGCCTACCAGAGGTCATTAGAATTTAAACACATCACAGAGGAAGGATGCTACCTGAACACCTGCAGAGAAGCTGGGTAGGACAGTGGGTAGAGCACCACATAGAGACACCACAGACAACAAATGAGAAACATAAACAGCTCAGAGCAGACCCTTCCAGGTTCAGTCAAGTAACAAACTAACAGAGGATGGAAGGAAAACTTTCCAGTTCAGTTCATAAAATGTCTCCCACTCTGAGTCAAGCATAACTCAAAACATTCCAGTAAGGAAAAATAATCATCAATTGTTAGAAATAAAATAGAGTTTTTTTAATAGAATGGTAAGCTCTTATAGAATGTTTATCATTTGAATTTTTCAGAAAAAATGGAATTGAATAATACAAAGGAAAATATGATCAGGTACACTATAAAAACAGCATGAATATTCTTATGTTAATTATGAAGAAGGATATACAAGAGCATAATATACTCTCTCATAACTTGTTTTAAATACATAGAAAAAATAAAAATACTGTATGAACATGAAGACACAATAAACACACAGAAATATTCTACACCTAAAGTATAGAAAAGAAGGAGGGTCAGAAGATAGATCCTAAAATGCTAATTTGGTTATATTTGGGTCCTATGACTACAAGTAAAACAAAAATAAATAAACCACAGTTTCTTCCCTGAAGCAACTAACTCCTGACTATATTTGTTTAGTCATCTTTAACTTTCATACTGTTTAAAACTCAAGGAATTGTCTTATTTGAAAAGCAGTTAAAGTGAATTTTAGAAAAGATGAAATTAACAAAGGCTAAACTAAAATTACTTTGTGCTACAGGAACATGAATATATTCTATTCTATATATTTATACAGGTGAACAGACACGTTTGGCAGGAGCCATTTGATGTAACTCACCTTCAGTTTATCACTATTCATCTGAATTCCTCTCAGCAAATATTTATTAAGGAGGAAATTGTGTACAAGGAAATTAGGTGAAAGCCGGGAGAGGAAAAGTTGAACAGTGATCCTTGCCTTGAAGGTTTTTGTATCTAAACAGGAGTAAATTAACGTGATGATATTTCCACTGATTCTATGTCTTGGATTCTTATCTGATTTTTCTTTATGGGACAGAGAATAGGAGCAGACTGATAATTTTCAGTGTAAACCATTAAGAAATCAGGAGAGCCTTAGTCGCTGGCCAGTGCTGTCAGTCCTTGTCACTGGCTATTTGGGTCGTCTGGAACATCTCTCTTCTAGTCCTTTTCATGTCTGTCTTTCAAGTCATTCAGGTCTTGATTCAGATGCTATGCCCTCATTCAGACCTCGCTACACTTCAGTGTTCTGTAACACTGTTTCATCGTCTTCATGGTACTGCTATGAAATTCTTGTTATTACTGTTCAGTTCAGAATATAAACTCCATGAGGGCAGGAGTTTCCAAGTACTTTGTGTACACTATACCTCCTCCAGGTCTCTGGAATAGTGCACAGTATATAATGTGTACCTAATGTGTATTTTTTAAAAAAGAGGAAACATCTGCCTGTACCTCTGCCTCCGTCTCTGCCTCTGCCTCTGCCTCTGGCTCTCTGGTCATACTATCTTAACCCTAGACCCTAAGAGGAGACAATCACTCTGCTGTTATTTCTTGTGCAATTTGGAGTTCTTTTCAGAAAGTCCTTGCCTACCCCAATGACTTTGAGAATTTTACTTATTTTATCTTCTAGTAGGTTAAATGTTTCTGTTTTAATACTAAGACCTTAATCCATCTTTCTTTTGGTTTAGTAGATGGTGAGCTATAGGAATCCCACTTCAATCTTCAAATGGATAACCAGCTTCAGGTAAAGTCTTTCTATAACTATTTTCTTCTGGTTTTTTTTGTCATGAATGTTGGATTTTGTCAAATGTTTTTTCTGCTTCTATTGATATGATCACATTGTTTTAATCCTTGTCTCTGTGGGATATATTACATTTATTGATCTTCATTTTCCAAATCACCCTTGCAATCCTGGGATGAAACCTACTTGTTCATGATGTATGATCCTTTTGATGATTTCTTGCATTCTATTTGCCAGTATCTTAGTAAGGATTTTTGCATCTATGTTCATTAAGAAGATTGACTTGTAGTTTTCTTTTTCGTGGTTCTCTGGTGTTTGGATCAGAATGATACGAGCTTTCAGAAAGGAGTTTGGAAGCGTTCCTTCTCTTTCAATTTTGTTGAAGAATTTGAGGCATATTATAACATCTTTAATTCATGTAGAATTCAACAGTGAAACTGTCTGGTCCTGGGCCCTTCTTAGTTGATAAGTTTTCTATTACTGCCTCAATTTCATTGCTTGTTATTGTTCAGAATTTTTATGTTTTTTGATTTAGCTTTAGTAATTTGTATGAATCTAAGAATCTATCCAGTTTTTCAAAATTTTCCAATTTGTTGGAGTATACTTTTGCATAGTAGCCACTATCTTCTGAATTTTGATGGTACCCATTGTGATTTCATTTTATTCATTCAAATTGCATTAATATGAGTCTCCTTTCTCTTTCTTTTCATAAGTTTGACTAATGGTTTATCTGTTTTGTTGATTCTTTCAAACAGCCAGCTCTTTGATTCACTGATTCTTTGTAATTTTTTTTTAGTCTCAGTTGCATTAATTTCCACTCTGCTATTTCTGGTTTCCCTCCTTAAGTTTGACTTGGGTCTGGATTTTGGTTGCTTTTTATGTATCTTGAGGTTCATCATTAGATTTTTTTGAGCTCACTCCATTTTTCTAATGTGAGCACTGACTGCCTTCAGCCTCCTTTTAGGACTGCTTCTGCTGTGTCCCATCGGTCCTGCCGTGTTGAACTGACATTGTGATTTGCTTCCAGAAAGAATGTCACGTATAGTGTTCCTGGTAATTAAATAAAAGCACACAGCCAATGTGAGTTAACTGAGGAAAACCACCTACTTAACCTTTAAATCTTAGTTCAAGTCTCATATCTTCTGTGCAGCACTCCCTGCTGGGGTTGAACCCACTAAACTACCAGTCTATCCCCAGCACCCCTCACACACCCCCACTTTAAAATTTTGAGATAGGATCTCAATAAATTGCCAAGGCTAAGTTCAAACTCTCAATCCCCCTGCTTCAGCCTTCAGAGTGCTGAGATTATAGGTGTGCACCACTAAGCCTAGTTTACATTAAGATTCCTTAAATTATACACAATTGTAATTCCAGCATTCTGAGAGGGTGAGGTAGGAGGATCACAAGTTTGACCCCAACTTGGGCAATTTAGTGACTCAGTGAGACCCTGTATCAAAAATTAAAGAATGAAAAAAAAGGGCCAAGGATGTAGTTCAGAATGAAGGCCTCAGGTTCAATTCCCAGTACCACCACCACCAAAATAATAATAATAATAATAATAGCCTTATTATTTTGGTTACTTAATACTAAGATATTTCTATCTCCTCAATAAACTAAATTTTCAGTGTCTCATTCTCAACACTAAATGAAGTATCAAAATTGCAGAACACACTAAACTTTTATTGAGTGAATAAAACAAAGGTGGAACCAGTACCCACAATGTCAAATACAGCCCAACCCGAAAATCTAAAAATAATTGTTAATGAAAAGATTTTAGAAAATTAAGTTTATAATTCTTAAGAATGCTAATCTTTATTAGTACATACATGTTCTAATCTGTGTACTACATGCATAGTGCATACATATACACACATACACACAAACAGGATTTTTTAGTCAAAAGTAGAGCTCCACTCAACAGGATCCACTAAAATTCCAAATTGTGTTTGCTGTTGTTTCCAATCACAGAAATATCTTTTATTTCTCATGATTAGAAAATAAAGAGATGTGTTCTATGGTTCAGGAGGTGGCTGTAACACTAACATAAAATGGGAAATTTCTATTATTAAAAAAGTTAAGGCAACTTTTAATTAGTTAATCTGACACAACAGAGAAACTAGATACAAGGCTCCTGAACTACTAATACCCTTAGCTCTGAATTTTCTCTAAGAAATGCTGAGCCTCTTTGTACACCAAGGAAGCCTAGTGCTCAGCTCCAGTTCTGAAACCTGTAATTTATTTATTGCTCTGAGTGGGAAGACGTGTAAGGGTGCCAGCATTCCGAAATAATTAAATTCACATAGGTGTGGGGTTCTCTGGCCTTTCACAATGGAAACACTGTGCAACACAAGAAATAGCTCAAGATGGCATCCCCAGGTGTTCTGACTCAGGAACTGCTTATGTCCAGTTCAATTCGCTTTTGATTCAGTTCCCCAAGAGTTGGCCAGAGGATCCACATGGGCTTCTTTGTCTGTCACGGCTAGACACTGCCAGATGGAGCACTCACCCACTGCTCCTGCTCCCTGGGTGTAACAGTGAGCCACTTTAGGTTTGGGATTTAGGTCCTAAAAGTGCTCTCCAGTGTGCTGGACTCCGTATCTAGCCACTAGTTCAGCTGCCAGTCCCTGCTAGGAGTTATTCTTCTTACATGCTTACCATACCTTTGTTACTCTTCATACTCTAAACGTAGGAGTTATTCACTAGAATGAAAAGGTGGATATGGTTGGGCATTTACTTTAGACAAAAACTGACAGGCAATTTTCTTAGGTGCCAGCTAATTTTTATTGAGCATTTCTTATATGCTAGGCACAATGTGAATCTCTTGACGTGGACCAGCCAATTATCCCTTCAAAAACCCTGGGAGACGGAACTATTATTTTATACTTAATGCTCACATGAGAGAAGAGAAAGTACATACAACCAGGAAGAGGTGAAGGTAGGCACTGAAGACCGTTGTCTCCAGCACCCCCAACATGGCCCCCTCCAAAATGAAGCATTGCATTGTTGAATACGGAATGTCAAATGTTGCAGTAGAAATGTGCCCAGGAGTTAATGGGAGGAAAGTCTCAGGGATGCTTCCAAAGGGAAGAGACCAAACTTTTGACAACGAGGATTGGGGCTGGAGGAGACCCAGAACTCTTACCAGAAGGTCAAAGGTGACCATGTAAGCAGGAATGAAAAATTTGCTTCCGGATTTGCCCTTCTTCCAGGGCACAGTGCAGGGATGGCGAACCTTTCAGAGCTTTCAGTAATACACCTTGTGGTTGCATGCGCCACCACGAGGGTAGTGAGCCCAGGAACGGTCGTGGAGGCAGCTCACAGAGGTGAGAAAGACCGTAGAGAAGGGAGCGGGCAGACAACCAAAGACTCACAGGGAAAAATCAAAGAAGCAGCGAGTCGGCCTATTGAATTTTGCAATTAGGTCTTCATTGTTAATCACAAAAGCTATTATGTTCTCTATGCCAGGCGAAGATCACCCACACAATCTCATCCAATCCTTGCAACCACTCTGGAAGTTTGTGTTATTTTCTGCTGAGGGAAAAATCCAAACCGTACAGGGCACACAAATGACTGAGCGGGAGAATGCAGGCTGCATTTGGGATATATTTGAGATGAAAGGGGATGGAGCTCCTACTGAAGGCCAGTCCATGTGCCAGGCACTTCAGCACTGCTTTCTGAAGTCCTCCAAACAATACTCTAAGAACAATGTGTTTCTACTCACCTTTAAAGAAGAAACCCAGATGTGGAAGCTTCACGTGAACCCTGCACCTCTCAGTGAAGCCCCTGGCCTCTCAGAAGAGCAAGAGATACTGAAAGTTTACAGCACTTAGCCGGTCACTGAGCGCGTGTGCACCAAAACTTCAGTTAAAACGCTGGCTTCCTTATTAACAGTGTGGTGTCCCTAGGTCCTGAGGCCGGAAGTGAGGCTCCCTCCGTCCTGACCTCAGCTCCACCACCTCTGGCCTCAGTTCTCCCGTCTGTAAAGTGGACTTTGTTTTGAAAATAATGAAAACGTGAAAAATAAAGAACAAGCCGTACTTAAAGGCATGGTCTGTGTCAGATTGCTAACGTTGGCTACTAACTTAATCTCAATTTTACTTCCAAAAAAGGGAGAATTCGCAGAGGCACCAAAGCTAGCAGCTCCAAGAGCCGGCTCCCACCCACGACCTTCCAAAAGCCGGCGGGGTAACCTCGGAAAGGGATTCAGGGGTGCGGCCTGTGGTGGGGAGTTAGCGTGCACATTTGTTTGTTTCTAGCAAGGGACGGGCCCGCACTTATTTGTCTCCTCCTAAGATGAAGACACGAAGAGAGAGGGGACACCTGGGCTCCACTCTGGGGATGACAGGCAGTGACGGATGGCAGGGAGACGCAGGTGCAGGGACTCGGGACTCGCAGCCCGGTGACAGAGGCGGGGAAGGAGCGCAGGGCTGCGCTTACTCCGTGGTTTGGTTTGGAATCAGAAGTGGGAGGGGCACAGGAAGAAACTCTTCTACTTTCCCCTACCTTCTTGTTAGCCAGGACGCAGCCACAGTTCTTAGAGAATTTTTTTTTTAAAGTCCCTCCCACGCCTCCTTCCGCGATGCTCTCCTCACCCCTCCCGCCGCGGCCACCCCCACCGCCGGCCTCGCCTCTCCCTCCCCCTGCTGGTCCGCGCTGACTTCGCTCCGGCTGCGCGCCCGGCTGCAGCCAGGTCCCGGCTGCCTGCGAGGCGAGAGGACGCTGTCGGCAGCCGACCTAGCAGGGAGCGGGAGGACGGGTCCCGCGAGCTGGCTGTCCGTCCGTCAGTCCTCCGCCTCGCATACACACGCGCGCGCGCCCCGCACCGCACGCAGCACTCGCCCCGGCCGCGCC